TATATATATATATATATATTTTCTGAATCATTCACTTTAGTTCTCTTCACTCATACAATTAAAATTATTTCTCTTCAGTGATAAAAAGAGTGAGCGAGCAAAGGATATGCATCTAGTGAAGAAGTTAAATGCTTTACTCAAAGCTAAAACCTCAGATCCAGGTAGGTTCTCTTGTGTAATTTCTTAAGATTGTATGTTATCAAATGGGTCTTGTATTATTTGTCTTGTAAGTGTACAAACACAGATATGATTGCGGTGCATTCTGACAGCTGTATGTGCTATGAATTATGATCTTTTTTTTAATAAGCTACCAGATTAAATTTCTCTTGTACAAGGATCCAGCATAAGCCTGTCTGCCATGTAAATCTTAACTAAACTCTACTTTGAGTGCTTGCATAAAACATGGTATATTTGCAACCCATTATGCTACGTAGTGGAGTTCAGCATTTGACTCTAGGTATGCTTCTTTCTGTAAGTAATACACATTTCTTACAGAAAGATTTGGAGTAAGAGATGCCACGGAGCTGTTACGATGTTTCATTTTCCCCAAGCTTATTTTGGCAACTTTTGTAATAGTGTTGTCACCTCTATAGCAGGAACCCGTGTGCATCTTAACTGTGGTGTGGATTGACTTGCTTTTCAGAATGGATTTGAGAAATGTGAATTGAAGTCGTGATTGTCTTTGTTTGCAGATTTGATTGAAGCTGAAGCAAAGGAATTAATACTTGATATCAAATACCCTGCTACAAAGAAACAGGTGAATATTTAGAAGCCAGTATACTTTAATATTAGAAAAAAAATTGCGTTTTCAGAGTGCTAAATCTTTTTAAATCTTTCAAAATATGTTATTTTTTCCTACAGTTACTTGAAGCAAATAATTGAGCTATTTTGGTGGTTGGTTTTTTCTTTTTTTTTTTTTTTTTTTTGGGGGTTTTTTGGGGGTTTGGTTTGGTTTTTTGTTTGTGTTTTTTTTTTTTTACAACATAATGACTGGAATTCATTTCGACTTGTGACTTCCACAAGGCATCTTCCATGATAAAGGTCAAAATAATAAAAAGTGAGCAGACTTTTCTGTAGGATCAAATTATGCCACAGGTATATGTGAAGACAAAATACAGATGAAAAATCATTGTCAAAGTTGTGCTTTGTTGGCTTACCTTATATGCTTTTACACTAAAATTAAGTAAATGTTTAATTCTGTTGAATGTCTGCTTAACAGGCTCTGGAAAGTATATTGACAAGTGAACGTGTGCCACTTCCATCTCTCACAAACATCACTCAGACATTAATGGATAATTTAAAAAAACAGGGTAGGTGGATATTTATTTTGCAAATATAGAGAGGCATTTGCACTTTGTCTGCAGTGCTGTAAGACTATTGTAGAACTATTCTGTTCCACAGGGAGACCAGACTTGGTCTGCTTAGTTTTGCTGCTAGATATCACAGGACGTTGTTTCTACATATTTTTTTTTTTTAATGCAGACTGCAAATAGCTTGCTAGTAAGTATGCTTTGCTATGCTTGCTGTGTGCCTAGTAACTTGTGATTATATTCAAAAAGAAAAAAAAAGCCAACAACTGGGCTGGGTACTTGCATCCAGTAAAAGCTTCCTTCGAAAGACGCTTTCACAGACACTTGCCTGTAGAAGTTTTAGTTTGTTCTCTCTCTCCAAGGAAGGCAGTAAGGATATGGTACTTTGGATCTGTGAATTTTAATGTACTGGAAGCACAAAATCCTTATCACTGAGGATCTGAGCTCTGGCCAGATGCCTAGTATCTTTTCTTGGTAAACTTTGCTGAAGTTATTTTTCATATGTGTTGCTAGAGATTTCAGAGCCAATGTCAGGAAATGTCATTATCCATTAAAAATCTTATTGCTGAAAGTCTGCAAGATTGTTTCTTTGAAATGATACACTTGGATCTTTCTAAATTGGGAGAACCTTCTTTGTGCTCGAGGTGACCCAATTTTGGAGACCCAGCTGGATATTGAGGAATAGAGTGGAGAAGCATGTGCCTGCCACTTCCTTTGCATGTGTTGGGACTTCTCAGCAATAGAAGTCTGCCTTCTTTTTCTTTTTGTTATCTCTGGATTCATTTCAGCTTATTAGAAAATGAGGCTTTAGCAATAGGAGTCAAGAAATCCTTACCACTGTTCTGTGGAAGTCCTGAATAAACCATTTGTCAATTAGAAAGGCCGTGTCCCTTGTTGTACCTCAGTGAGAACGTGACAACACATTTTCATAGTTTCAAAGCCTTGAGAGGAAATCTTTCTTTCACTTGTATCAGTGGTTTTTGGTGTTTTACCATTTTCTTGAAGCAGATAGAGGAGATTGAGAGCTTCACACATGCAGTTCTCTACCTAATTTTGGTCTGGCATTCTAAATCACTAGCATTACCCATTTCTGTTAGAACTCCTAAAAAACCAAAGAAGAATGGGAACATGCCGGTTTACACTGAAGAGAGATTGACAGAACTATATACTTACTGAGGTCTGTTTGTTTGAGTGTGTATTTTTCATCGTTAATCTCTTAATGTCATACATAACATTATTTCCTCACAGTCACAATAAAGAACAAACTTGGCTGATGTTCCAGCCTTCTAATTTCAGAAGAGTGTTGGCATATCCTTCCACTTGTGCTTAGTAGGTAAAAGATAATGTGAAGTAGATGCTGGGCTTTGTGAATGCTGTGGTTGTGAAGAAAAGGACAAGTGATTGTGCGGCAAGCTCTGTGCATTTCTCTTTTGTTTGTAGGATTTTTAATAGCAATGTGTCAAAAGTATTTAAGGGTTCTTTGGGAGAAAATCGTATTTAGAAGCTGTTTCAGGTGAAGATGATATATGCAGAGGTATCTTTTCTATAGAAAGGTCCTTTTAGGATCTCTGTAAAATGCTTTATTTTAAAACAAGTAAGTTGGAATAGAGGTTTTTTTTCAACATTGCGTTGGTTGTTAGCTTCCTATATGCTGATTGCTTTAATTGTTACTGAAATTTAGATACATGACATTTCTGAGACTAAGATTGTAGAAATAAAAAAGGTAGTGTCTTGCAGAGGTGAAATTGAATTCTTATCAGTAGATATCAAGCTCTCTTCTGATGCAAGGAATATGCTTTAAATATTGGCATAATGAATAAAAGTTTATAGTTTGGTATTTAATTCTTGATAAAAGAAAATATGTTTGAGACTTAGTGTATTTCAATTTTTGACAGTCTGTGGTTTGGCTTTAAACCAGGAAAAATAGATTTGTCTTTGTTCATTTCCACATTGTCAGCCTCCTTCAGTTTAAAAATGAGCCTGATGTCTTTCTCTAATACTTCTTGTAAAAATAATTCTTGTTTTATACTGCCATGAATTAAATATAATCATTGCAAGCAGCAGTGCATCAGAAAATTACACTGAGAGGCGTAAGTCCTCCAGTTCTAATAAAGGAGGAGTTTAATGCAGCTGTGAAGTATGTTTCACTATTTCAGGCTATATATTCAAGTTCAAATGCAGTTTTTTTTTCTCCTCAGAGCTTGAGTGTGTGGATGAAGGACTACTGCAGTTCTGTGCAAACAAGTTGAAGCTGTTACATCTTTATGAACTAGTTAGCAAATTAAATTCCCAAAGCATACAGAAAGACACTCCACCCTCAGATAATGTGAGTAAATTCAAAATTCAGTTGTCTAATAGAATCAAGTGATGATTTAAGCATAAAAATTTGTTTTCAAGGCCTCGGATAAAATAAGTAGGTAAGCAAGTTACCCGTTTTTGTGGCCTGGAACTTTTAATGAAGTGATTGTTTTATAATGCCTTCCCCTACTCCATACAAATGCCTAGTAATTCATCTACCTAATATTCTTTAGCAGCCACATAAAGCTGAGACAGAAGTGAAAATAGAACCAGGATCTCCTGATTTCAGTCCTTTATCCAAAGTACATAGCATATTCTTAACTTTGTTTAGTTTCGGAGGGGTATTTTGGGACCAATAGAAATTATAATTTCTGATGTTTGCTTGTGTAGCATCATAATGTGGCTTGCTTTTGGTATAATTTATAAAAATGCTTATACGTTTATAAAAGCCATACGGAGTGGTGTTATATGGGCTTGTTTGCTTGATAGGTGATTGTTATACTATGAGCAGGATCTAAATATGGGAAATGTATCTGCTGAAGTCCTTAAAAATTAAGCTAGACAAGGTCTTCATTTGAGCTATATGAATAACTGATTTTGAGATTATTCAATCATTTTGGCCCTTTTTAAAGACATTTTTAATGTTCAAAATATTTTGACTCTTCTGACTTTTGTTTTTAGTTTTCACTGTGTTTTGAAAAACATCCATTTGCATTAGTCTTGTGATGTGCGATTTTTTTTTGGCTTTTGCTTTTAAGGACTTGGCTAAACTGCTTCAGCTGGAAGAAAAAGATTTTCATAGGCTCCAGACTTTACTGGAGAACTACAAGAAAGAAAACACCCAAACTACTGTTCAGTTTGCTGATGAGAAGGATGATGTATTGTCTGTGAAAATGTTCTTAGAGTATTTGGAATATGAAAAGGACATGATTAATGTGAAAGATATGGAAGATGGAGAATATGTGGCTTTAGGTAAGAGCTACTGAACTGTTTGTCAAATTTCTTAAAGATTGATTATAATCTAAGATGGTATAAATATTTTAGCCTTAATTTGGGGGAAGCAGTATGTGACAGTGCTAGTTCCAGACTCTTACCTTTAGCCATAGGACAAGTCTTTCTACTTAGATGGATATTTATACAAGTTAACTACATTAGGGATATAATTACCCTAAAACCATGTTATCACGGTTCATTTGTTTATTAATGCCACTAAGTTGGACAGTGATAATTAGGTATTTTGCAGAGCAGCTGTATCCTGCAGTTTCTTTTGTGGTCATAGCACCTCAAGAGTTCAGTTAATGACGGGACTGACTTTAGCCTCAGAGATGGGGGAGCTGACCAGAGGCAGCACAGGAACATTAGGTGAGGGAATAAGGACCCCTCATTTGTGGAGTTGAGGAGATTTTTGACAACGTTGATCTGAAATACTATGGATGGGGAGAGCGTCTGGGGTGTCTTTTGGGGTGTGGGATGGGGTTACTGTCTGTAGTCTGCTTTAGTTTTGCAAATCTGTTCCGGACTGTCCTTAAGGGGCTTTTCGGAAAAAACTAGTGGAAGCAGCTTGAGTTAAATCTGTCTCAAAGGCACTGTCTTTCCAGATGATTACTTTTCTGGGGAAATTTTCGTGCAAATACAGAATTCTGTGCACAGGTGTTGTATGGTATTCACTTTGTAGCTGCCTGCTTCTTTTGGCTTTAATTGTCAGACTTTGAGAGGAACTGGGATTGAAATGTTAGGCAGAAGAGCTTGGCTTTCATCTGTATGAAGATCAAAGGCTGTTTCTGAGTAATCTTAGAATTTGCATTTTCTCTACCATAACACTATACTTGGTTTTAAGAACTGGGGTAGAAGTACTCTTCTCCCCATCCCCTTGGACAAGGATCACCAGTAACTTATTAGGGTGTTCAGCTGTAAACAAATATAATTGAAACATGAATGTCATGCTGAGCAGTTTAGATGGTTTCTTTAAGATCTTGTTTTTCCGATTTTCCTCTGCCTCAAAGGGACACTCACACTTTTGTAGTGCTGGTAAGGTATGAGTTATGTAATTGTTTGGGTTTTTTTAATTGGTTGAAGTACCACTAGTTTGCTATACAAGATACAACATGCTGCCACACAGTTATGGGTTACTCCATGGATAAACTTGTCCAACACTTCAAGCCATTCTTTGAATTGAACAAAATGTGTAATCCAAGCAGTACAATAACCTTTGTTTTGTTATAAATTCATTTTCCATATGACTTCTTAGTGGTAGGAACATTTAAGTCCTTTGTAATGAACCTTTTTCTCCACTAAGGGTGAACCGTCAGGGTACCCTGGATGTAACCGAGTCCTTTGTATTGCACTCAGTAGGACTTGATCAATAGATGATTTTTCATATAAGTGTAAGGGGAGAGGCTGTGGCTTTTGATTTTCATAATGTCAACTAATTTTTGCTTCAGGCAGCTTTTTCTTCTGGAAGTGTTTGTGTGGGGAGAGTTCGACAGAGGAAATGTGTCATGCTTTGGAATCAGCAGGTTTTAGCCCTCAAATCTTGTTGGTAAGATATTTATTACATACTTTAAAACTTTGATTTAGTAATTTGAAAGCAAAACATTGAAAGGAAAAATTCTGAATGTTGACCTTTGGATTAATGCTGTATTCAGGCTGTGTTCCAACACCTCCACATTCAGTTCTTTACGTACTCCTATTTGTATTTCTCACTTAAGAGATGTCAAAAGAAGAAAAAAAAAAAAAAGAAAATCTTCTAGTAGAAAATGTGAGTATTCTAGTGGGAATGTCTAGAGTATGCATGTAGGCCTACAAGAAGATTTGTTGAAGATTTCTTCTACAAAGAAGCAAAAATTATGAGTGTAGTTAATTTCAGGTACTGGTACATTTTTTATAATTCCTTTTTGCAAACAAGCAAGGCAGTTTAAAAAGAAAAGTAAATTTTTCAGAATCGCTAGTAGTGTTCAGACAATCATCTTTATCTTTCATCTGCATGTAATTTTAGTCTTTTTCTACTTTTCTTCCATGCGCTACATAATGATGGAAATACCTATTTCAGTGTTATTTGCCCGTGTTAAGATTTTCAGCTGTAGTATTAATAACTGCTAATGTTTGCCAAGTTGAGATTGCTAACATGCTGGTATTAGCTGACTGTGCCTTCAAAAGAGGGTGTTTTCTAAGATATCTTTCTAAATGAAAGATACCAATTGTATTGTTTCATTTCAAGTCTGTCATAGGGTGCCTTATACAATATATTTTTAACTTGTTATGTTAATATAGTAAGGGTTCATGAATATAACATTTCTGTTCCATGACACAAAATCTGTTGGAGAAAGTGTTTGCATTAGGTATATTGCAATATTAGAGTTTTATTCTATTGCTTTGATTCCATATTCTCTTTTTTTACAGTCACTCCTTCTCAATTTATGGCTTTCCAAGGAAAAAGATGTTCTAGACAAACCAGATTCTGTCAGTTGCCTTCACACTATGCTGTCACTTCTGAGCAAAATGAAAGGTGAAATGTGCATTTGGAACACTTAAACACAACTGATACTAATTATTATTAGAAATTTGCTACTCTGACTAGCCTATATTATTACTTAGGGTTCCCTCCCCCAAATTATGTAACAGAGCTAAATGCTGCACGTTGATGAACTAAGTAAAATTCCATCAAAATCTGAAGAGTATCATAATTAAAGGCCTTCTTCATGCCCTGCCGTTTCACTCTCCACTAAGTGGACATAACTCCTGTTTGGCACCAGAGGTCCAGCTCCCCTTCCTCCTTGTTTTGGGTGTATAGTCCTGCCCCTCTCCTTTGCGCTGACTGGCTCTCAGAAGTCCTTCGAGTTTCTTTAACTCATTGAGACACCGTTACTCTAGCAGCATTTGTATATTGAACATCTCTGTAACTTCAGGGGTACTCTATAAAGTCAGCTTGCCATTATTTGGGGTGGGTTATGTAATGAATAAATACTGATTCTCCTACCTCACGCAGAGCTGCTATGGATATGTCTGTGCCAGGTTCCCTTGTGTCTAGTTCACCATAGGGCACCATTACAGCTTGAAACTGGAAGCATGAATAAGCTACTGCTGCTGTCTGAATAAATTAATTCTGCTGAACACGAGGTAGCCTGAAGAGAGCCAGCTTGAGTGCATTGAATACGTGTGGCATCTTGAAATCACGAAAGAAGCGGTCAGCATTGTGAAGTGTCATTCTGTAATGTTCCTTAGATCTAGTAAGCGTGCAGCAGGTTTTAGTACCTAGCGATTCAGATCGATTGCCTGTTTCCTACAAATGAAACTTGGAAAACGAGTAATTCACGTTCAGCTCTTTATTTTAAATTTGAGTTATAATCTAGAAATTATATGCTACATATCTAGAAAAAGGTAATGTAGAGTAGTTGGAAACTGCTCCTAAAATAAGCTGTATTAATAAGTGATGCTTTCGGGGTTGGGTGCTGCTTTAGCAATGTTAACACCCAATGCCCCAAGCTTGAGTTTCCTGCTCTCCCTTTCCACGAGTCGTGGGACACTCAGTCGGTTTCCCCCTGGTGGCAGCAAATGCGCACGGCTTGTGTCCAGTCTGAAAATAACGCAGCTGCCTTGTTATCTGCGCACGTTGGACATTCTGTAACTGCACAGATAATTGACAGTGTGACAGAGAAAAAGGTAAGTCATCTTGGACCTCCCCCTTTTATTTTATTTGCTCTATCAGTTCCACGCAAATTGCTGTCTTTATAATGGAGTAACATCCTCAGCATTAATTCGCCGTCGTTCCAACATGGGCATAAGCATGCCATCCTGCAAGCCTGAAAATTTATATTCGAATTTGAAGAATATCATGCTGAGGTGAATGAATCAAAATTGTTTGCTGAACATACTTAAATACGTGATGGGAACTGTACAGTGAGTTTTTCTCTTAATAGCAAATGATGTTGACAAACTTAAAGCCTACGCAGTTGCCACATAAATTTGAGAAGTTCACTGAGCTTTGGATGGTAAACCTGTTTTAATGCAGTTTTGATTTTTTTTTTTTTTTTTAATATACTGGTGAATTTTCTCAGCCTTTATATTACTGTGCTTTACTTTTTAAGGTGATGGGTGGTTGGTTTTTTTGGCAATAAGTGTCTTTTCACAAAGTTGTCATTAACACTGTGAAACTCCACGCAGCATTGCCATTCAAAATGGAAAAAGTTATTACATTCCTAAATAGCACTAGGCATATTTGTATTTTATTACTTGCCTTAACAGATTAGATGGGGTTTAGGTGATGTTCAATCTTGTAAATAGACTCCCTTAAAAATTATAACTAGATTACTGGGAAGCGTTTTAGTATTTTTGCACATTCACTTTAACTATTTCAATTCTGTACATTAAAATCGTTAGTGTTGCCCAAATAGGAATGTTGGTATGTTGCAACATATTATGCTTTACCCGTACGCTCTCTCCTTTGTCACCTTCTCTTCTGCTCTTAAAAGAATGAAGCAACAGCTTTATTTCCCTCAAAACTTCCCTTCCGTAAAGCCATTTATCTCTTCCCCCATCCCCACCCCCTTTTTTTTTTTTCTCTCCCTATTGTCCTTTGTCTTAAAGCCTAAAACTGTTAATGGCCAGGCTTCTGAGAACTCTAGAGTTTGCTGTCTTGGTGCACAAAGCTAAAAATCAAATCTGCGCCCTATTGGAAAGATTCTTGGGCTTCCTGGCAGAGCGTTTGCTGATAAACACAAGAATTATCAAAATAGTGCACAGAACTGTGATGTGGTGTGATCTGGGTGCATGATACATATTTTTTAATATGGTAGGAAATTGAAATGTAGGTGGATTAATCATATATGTAGGGAACGTGTATATAGTGGAGGACTTAGAATTAAATATTTTTGAAGGGATTCTAACCCACTTTTCAACTAAATATGAACTTTAAAATGGGGCTACAAGATGACCTTTCAGGTCCTTTTATTTCCTTATGTTTTTGTTTCAGAATCTGTGCATCTTGTGAGCAGTGTGGGATATTAACTGATGTCTGCATAACAGTTAATGTAGATATCTTGAACTAAATTATTCTTTAAAATGCAGTAGCTCTTAGGACATAGCTTCCTGTTTTAATACTATGCATTTTTAAACAAAACTGTGCTACTTTATGTGAACAGACCTAAACCAGTTCATATGTTCTGTTAGTTTTCCCAAATAATTGTAGGTTCAGACACAGAATCCTGGGAAGCACTTTCTCTTGATACTGAATATTGGAAACTTTTGCTGAAACAGCTACAGGATTGTCTGATACTTCAAACACTACTGCATAGCAAAGTGAGCAAAAGGACAAAAAGAGTTTCATCACTCCAGACTGAGCCTTTGGCCAGGCTTTCTGTAAAGAAATTGCTTGAAGCTGGAAAAGGTACATTTTTTTTTCTCTTGGAAAGATGGTTGATTGTCTTTCTAATAGACTTCTGAGTCATCCTTACCTTAATTTATGATATACACTGCACTGGAAATTGTTCTGCTGGTTACTTTTCTTAATTTAAAAACCAATGCAAACCACGTAGAATAGCGTTTTAAAATTGTAAAAGTATTACTGTAAAGACTGCATTGTAAATCTTTAATCAGTTGATTAGAAAGTTTTCTAATTGGCAAAGTTATCCTTATGTAATTAACAGTATTAGTTAAAACTCCTATCTCACCTCTTGTCCTTTGATTCTGAACCATAAATCTTCTGGGATACATTGACTATAGCTCATAATTTTTTTTTTTTTTTTTTTTAATGTCCTAGGAGGTATTGCTGATACTGTAGCAAAGTGGGTTTTTAAGCAAGGCTTCAGTCCTCTTGTACTGAATTTGGCCCAACACAAAACCAATACAGATAGTACTGAAGAATCTGTAGAAATGCATACTAATATCTTTCTTGAGGAACCAGAAGCAGATGCAGGCTTGGAAACAATCCTAGGTAAGAAAATAACATGAATTTTTTGAATTCTAAATGTTTGCAGAGACGTTTTAGTTGGTACTGTTGTGAAGTAGCAGAAATCATAGTGGGAAGACGTCTGTCTTGTAACTTCAGATTTTCTTTTTCTAGAGCTGCTGCAACTAGCATATCAGCAATTTCCATGTAGTCTTGAAGTGGATGTACTCCATGCACATTGCTGTTGGGAATATGTAGTACAGTGGAATAAGGACCCAGAGGTAAAAGAATTTCATTTGCGGGGAATAATGGTTAAGACCAACTCAATAGAAGCAGTTTCACAAGTTTGTAATAGTTCATAAAAACTTTTGTTAAGAAGACTGACTTTGAAAGCATACTAGTTACAATTTTTCTGTGGTAAGTGGCCAGAACAAATTGAATTGAGAAAATGAATGCAGGACCTGAGGCTGAATGGCACCTCACAAAGACAGGACTGTATGTTTCTAAGCTATCAGATTCTCAAAACTGGAAGTGTGGAAACTGGATTCAAATAAGCAGCATGAAGAAGGGTTTTGACTATATTTTGTGCAAGTACAGAACAGTTGCAAAATAGCGATGAACCTTTCCTCTGTTCTAGATATGCTAAAACAGATCACAGTATACTAAATTTGTTAGGCTAGAATCCATTCCATTTAAAGAGGAGAGATTTCTTGAATATTCTTAGATTCCCTGGCCACTGCTGGGAATTGTCATAGGAGGAAAAAAAAAAAAAAAAAATCCCTTTTTTCCACTGCTCTCTTATAGCTTCTCTAATATTGGAAAATGTTGTCCTAAGTTCAGATGATATTAAAATTTAAATTAGCACTCCTTAGATCTGTGCAACATAACACCTTGCTATAGAACAGAAGGTTCCTTTGAGATTATTAAAAACTTACTCCATCATAATGAAATAGAGTAAAAATTAATCTTTCTAGCACAAATGGATTTTGTATTTGAAAAATGACTGTAGTCAGTGGAGGTACCTTTCAGCAAAGAGTATGTTAGCAGTACATATGCTAAAACAAAGCCCTGAAAATAGTGCTGAAATCACAATGTGTTTCATGATTACTGAAACATACTTTGGCATATGCGTGTATGTTTGTCAGATAGTAGCAGAGAAGATTGCAATATCAGAAAAACTTACGAGTTTTATAACTGTCAAAAAATAATAGCTTTAAAATAATCTACCTGGGGCCTTTAAGAATCAATAGTTTACATTTAAAACAAGTCTTGAATAATGTAATAACTTGTTCTTTTACTTTTTTGTTTTACATAAGGAAGCATGTTTTCTCATTAGGTCTATAGATCATCTAAGATGCATCATTAATGCTCACATTCAGCATGGTAAGTATGAAGCATTATTAAAAATGATCTTTGTTAAAATTGTAAAACAATAGGATAAATGACTGTTGACTAGTATAAATGTATGCAGTTTGTAGTAGTTATGGCCATTTTGTCGGGGCGGGGGGGGAAGGAGGGGAGAACAAAAAAAAACTAAAACAAAAAAACCCCAAAACTTTCTGCTGACATTCAAGCTTTTGTTTTTCATGTTGAAACTGAGTTTCCGTCAGAACCATGAAAATAAGTTGGTTAGATAAAGTTAATGTGTTTAACTAAAAACATTTTAAAATAAAATTGCTCTGAAACTATTTTTTTATTTGTATTTAAATAGTAGCACATGCTTCTTGCAGTCAATTACTTTTCATACATTTCATGCATTTCTTGATACTCTGTTTTAGTGAATGTGATGACATTTGTCTCTTTTGTAGACTATTTATGTATGCAAATAAGGTGCACTCTATGCCTAAAGCACTAGTCTTAAACCTTCACACTTACCACCAAAGTTTCTGTGTACCTACAATGTTTAACCCAGTCTGCATAATATAATAATTTTAATGAATGATTCATTGCACTTCTGGCTGCATTTGGTCACCAAGGTAGTCTCCTCCTGAGAAATCCGAAATCTAAAGTCCAAGTGTAAAGCAGTGAGGGTAACTCACAATTCCTTCCTGTTTCATTCACCATTTTTAATTCTCCCATTAAAGGAACTTTGGCCCATGGATTTTCACTCCATACTTGTAAGATCTCTTTTCTATTCACTTGGAGTTTACAAGTTTGTGATTGTTCTAGGTATTGCTCTGATGATGTGGAATACATTCATAGTAAAAAGGCTTTCTTCTGCTACGTATCTAATGGACAAGGTGAGTGCAGTGTTATGACAGTATTTTTGAGGCTGAATTATTAACTGGAAAGTGAAACTAATACTTTTAAACCATTGTGGTTTTTTTTTTTTAATAAGTTTGGAATATCTTTGATTTAAGCATCAAAAAATCCCTGCTTATTTGGTTTATTATGTAGCTAACTTTTGGAATTGATGAAGGAATGCATATTTTAAAATATCAAATCCGTGGAATGATCAACTATAGGCAGCTTAAGTAATAGCTGATCAGCACTGGCTGATGTGTACTGAATGCACAGTGTTAGCTTGTAATTGCTGAATAAAAAGAATTTGTGAGACAGTTTGAAACTATATATGTGTGCATATATAAAATTTTAAGTTAGAAAACAATAAATAACTTAGAGTGTTTTCTCTGTGCCTGTGTCCTGGTAAGTTATCACCATGAAACTTTCAGGTTCCCACAAGCAGCAGCTTTTCTAATGTTGTGGTCCAAGTTTTGCATGTATGAGCTCTTATTCTGCAAAATGCAGAGCATTTTGTGGATGTTGTTGAGCATTTTTAACTATCGCTACCATTGTAAATCAGCTTCTGTTCTAGTATGCAGCTTGTCTTCTATGAGTTTTTAGCAGCCTTTTGTCCCTGCTAAACTTCAATTTTTTCATGCTTATAAATATGCAGTGGATCTATTTACTGGAAGACAATTTTGTTTAGGACTGGAAGACAGTTTAGGAAGAGTACTGCCAGTAAGTGATAGATCTGTTTAAATTGTGTAAGGGGAATCTGCCTGTTGGTTTGCCGGATGCAGAGCAGCAGCAAAGTGTTTTTCGGTGTGAAAGTCCAGATGCAAAGAGAGAAATGTTGATGGTGATTTAAAATGAACAAACAAAAAAACCCAACAAAACCCACAAGAATTTGCTGTCTCGTCTTCTTTTTCCTTCCCCTTTGCTCCTCTCATTTTCTGCTTTTGCTTTTTGTTTAGCTCTGTAAGAATTGGAGAATATCATCTTCCTCATTCCTTTCAGCAAATAGGCTCAGTTGTATACAGTTGTAGTAGGTGTTTCTTCTGCAAAAACTCTTTTCCAGTTTTTCTGCATGCCTTTATGTAAATCCACCACCATTACTTCTGTCTAGATTAACACCCGCAGGAGAAGAGATAAAGGTTTTTATTAACTAACTGGTTTTGCACACATCAAACAAATATCATGTAATAACAAATGTTGCTAGTTTTTAGTAGTTATTTATGTATGTTTGAAAGCTGGGAATTAGTCCTTAGGGTTTGTGTTACAGAAGCAGTAGCACAGCTGATGTCTTGCCAACTTCCAGAAAAATAGAGTTTCCAAATCTGTTGGCACTTAGTCCCAAAATTGACAGCTGAAAGTCTTGAATTCAGACTTTGAAACAGCATGATGGATCACTTGAATTCGAGTCCTGTAATTCAGGACCCCGGAATCTCACTTCAGCTGTTATTTAGACTCTGCCATGATGTTGTAATCATTACTTTTACTTTTTTGTGCTATGGAAGAGAGAACTTCCACTTACGTGTATGTGCTTCGTCGTGTGCAGCATGGGATTCAACTTGTATAAATTGGACCTCATAGTAACATAGTAACATTCCTAAACAGGACCTTGGGGCCTTATTTCTAATGCTAAACTTTAAGAAGGGTGAACTAAATATGGGCATCAGTGATGTTCATTTCTGAGTTGTATGATCTGTATAAAATCTTTTTTTGAAAGCAAGCTATGCAATGTTTTGCATTATGTAGCTGTAATGAACTATTTTCTCATTTTATTTTAGGAAAATAGTAGTAAAAGGTTAAAACATGGGGTAACGGATACCTTATGATGAAAATTATTTAATTGTGTTGAAATACTTTTTTTTAAAACAGGTTGGAAAAGCTCCAAAGGACAGATTATGCAGACGGGCAAGTAATACTACTTTTGTCTAAATGGGAAGGAATAAATAAAAATTCCTTCATTTTAATACTAGTTTGTGATTTATTTTTGAAAGTTTCAGAAAAATTCAAAATGCAGCCTTAGAGAAAATGTTGTGAATTTTAAGAAATATAAATTAATCTTTATCTGACAAAGCAAATTAGAACAGTAGTATAACTTCGAATATTATAGAAGGTAGACTTGAGACTATAACATGACAAATTACTATTGTTTTTCATGTGTAATTTCATTAGTTAAAACTTTTTTGGAAGACAACTGATATGCTCAGAAAATGAAATTTACTAGATATGATTACTTGAGGAATTCAGTCTTCTTTAGAGATACAGTATTGTAAATGGCTACATTTAGCTTTATTCCTATTTTTTCCCCTGTTATTTCTAATTTTGTTTTACTTCAGTGAATATTTGTTTACCTTTAAATATAATAGGTTAATAAACTGGGCTTAACAATGTGTTTTATGTCAACAACTGTCTTCTCAGAGCTAATAAAGGCCTGTTTCAATTCCAACTGAAACAATTTAAATCATACTGTTTGTTAACAGGACGTAGGTATGGGTGACACAGCAATGACAGCTTTTCTTGGCTGCTGTTCAGATCTTCTGCAAACATTGCTAGAGGTAAATTTTTATTTTTCCTGTAGAAAGTAAGGACCTAATTGATTAAAATTTAATTTTAAAGAATATGGTTGTACTAATTTCTGTACTGTTCAGTTCAGACAGATATTAATGAACTCCTAGAAAATATGAAATTTTCTTTTTAATTTCACTGCAGTGAACTTGTGATTAAAGCAGTGTTTTTTGCATAGAAGGCCATATAGATAACATTTTGTGTGTGACTACTTTTCTGTGTTGCTCTGGCAGGCTGACGTTAGTAGCGACGAAATGCAGGCTCCCGTCTTAGATACTGAAGATGCTTGGGTGTCGGTAGAAGGACCAGTATCGATAGTAGAACTAGCCCTTGAGCAGAAACGCATTCACTACCCACTTGTTGAACACCAGTTTGTGTTATGTTGTATCTTGTATGCCATCATGAGGTTTTCTCTGAAGAGTGTGAAGCCTCTTTCGCTGTTTGATAGCAAGGTATGTCTTTTGAAAGCATACATCTTAATGTTGCTATCCTTCCTCTTGGTATCTATAATACATGCTAGCTTTCACTCTTTAAACAGTTCATGCATAATTTTATGAAAGACATTTAGTCCATTGTGGTGCATTAATGAAGTTGTTACCAGAATTCAGGCCAAGACCCAAACTTGGTGCTTTTCCTTATGAATAGAAGATTTATAGTGACCTTGGATGCATGAAAATCAGCTCCTTAATAATTAGCTGGCCTGAAAATACTGCATGGTAAGAACACCGGATGACAGGTTTTTCTAGTTGCTTTGAGAAGTGCCAGACCAGAGAAAACATAAATATTTAAGGTCAGAAATGTTATGTTAGTGTCACTGTTGTATCCATTATTGCTGATGATTATTCCAGAATTCTGAGCGTCTCAAAGAGAATAAACAGCTTGCTATTTAATGCATATAAACCACTTTAAAAAAAAAAAAAAGTTACTGCATTTAAAATGCAGTATATCTGCAATTAGAGCTTGACCCTGATACAATGCAGGAACCACAAATTGAGCTTTCCTCCTCCTAGCTTTACCACACTACAATTCAAAAAAAAATTTAAACACAAAGTACTGGTGTAGACTGTCTTTTAATTCCTG